ACTGAAACCAGAACATTTTTGTTGATATTAATGGACAATTTAAACATAATTTTTATATTATATTAATAAAATATTACAGTAAAGGATAAAAAGAATATACTTATAATTTAAATTTATGGTTAACAAAGTCACAGAATAGTTATAGAAAGCAAAATAAAAACAAAAAAATTCTACTGTAGATTCAAGCATTCCAACATGTCATCTTATTTTAGCATTGCTATGACCACGTTCATGTTGCTTAATTACATCGAATTGTTGCTCTAATGTAATAACGAGTCTCTTCTTTTTAAAACTGTATTGTTTTCATCTGATGGAATCTTCCTTTTCTCCATTTTATACACACACAGATTAGCACTTTCTAAAACCCCAACCGCAACTGTGCATGCACTAGCCTCGCATTAACTGAATTTTGGGTCGCATTAAATGCAACTTGGTATCAATTAACAATTTGCACTAAATTGAATGTTGCTTTATTTGAACTTGCACTAATCATGACCTACCTGTAATTAGAATTAAATCATTAACTAGTTCTCCCTGTGTACATTCTTCTATGTGTATGGCTTTTCAGGATTACAAATACACCCACAGCCTCTCATTCATAGAAATTAAGTATGATTAGTTGATACACAGTTTAAGCTATTTTCTATGGGACATTCACACTATGAAATTCCCTGTTGATGAAGATTCCTGGATGATATTCCTTCATACTATATGATATGAAACAAGGAAACAACTTGCATATCAAATTTTGGAATCTTTCCAGCTGTATGTGACTGTAAAACTCTGGGTTGAGGGGTGTGTGTGCGCGTGCGTGTGTGTGTGTTCTTAATCATTAAGAGTAGTAAAAGAGAAATGTAATTTCTTCTATAGCTTTTAACAGGAAACAATATTTGTGTCCTTTAAAGATGGACCAAATGGCAGAAATTTGATTGTACTTATATCTTTATATTTACTTTTTCTATTAATTTTTTTCATGTCAATAAGTATCTGTGTAACAAAACACTTTAAACAGTATTTTTTTTAAAAATGAACATTTATTTAAATGAACATTTAAATTAAATATTTTTAAAAAACATTTGATTTAGATATTAATACTAACCTTTTAGATCTGGTCTATCTCGGATACCCACTGATACAAAGAAGCAGTCCATATCCACATGCATTATGCAGCACTGATGCTTGGCTGAACTCAAGAAGGATGTGTTCTCTAGTAAAACAAGGCAAACAGATAATTTAATTCTGGCTAAATAACTATCCATTTTTTCTAATAAAGCTAAAAATTTAACCTTAAAACTTATCTCCCCATTCTTCATTTATAACTACTTTTTATAAAATATAAAAGAAACTACAGAACTCTAAAACAGTTCTAGGTTTTTAAAGGCATGAATACTCAATTGTCAAGTGCAATACTTTTTTCAAGAACAGATGCATTAGTAAAAGCAAACAATTTCAAGAACATAGTACACAGCTTTGGAGCTGTTCTGATACACTGAACACAAAGACAATCTGGGCTGCTTTATCTATAATGAAAATATCTGACATAAGTGCTAATAAAAGTCATTCTTTGGGTGCCACAAGCCAAAAAAGTTAATGCGACCTTATTTTCTTGGCATGTTGCTATATGGATCTCATATGAGTATTTACAAAAACTTCTCAATCCCTGAACAAATACAAACAACATTCTTAAAATCAAGAGCATATATTCCTTGACTTCTAATGCCATCACCAGATTAGTGCTAGGTTGCAACTCATTCAAGATCTGTGCAAGATTATGTTGGCTAAGATTCTAGGCAAAGCAAATCATTTGGGGAATCTTACTGGTACATCTCATTCTACGATATACATCAGTCTACTCTGAAAAAGCAAATAGACCACCATCTGAGATAGTGTGGACTGTCAATACCAGCCCTACTTGCTTTAGGCCTAGAAAAAAGCCCTGGTAGAACTTAAGCAAAGGATATGGGACTTAGACATTCAGGTAGACAGAGCCAAACTTTCCCATCTCTCATTCAGACAAATTGCTTTCTCCCCCTGGACACTCCCCAATTGCTTCTATGAGATTCTGTATGCCCCACATAGAAGGGTCTTTTCCCTAGCCTGTAAAGATGCTGTCCCTACTAGGGTGACAGCTGGTTGATATGCCAACCTTCCATATGAAGATTGGATATTTATTTAGACGTTGAATCTGTTTCACATATCCTTTTAAGGTGCCCACTGTACCCACATTGGTGATCAGAGCTAATATACCTACTCTTGAATCTGATAAACTCCACTCACGATGAGGAGAGATTGAAGTAGTCTTACTAAACAATCAATACTGAGGTGTTTCAAAGGCAATAGCAAAATTTTTATTTGTAGCCTTAGCTTACAAAAACCATTTGGTGCCTTCCATGAGTTGTTAATTTTATAGTGTTTCTTCCTCGTATATACGTACAAATTGTTACTTATGCATACATTAATGGTGTGCTACATTTTACATTTTGTGACTTGGTCTTAGACTGTAAATACATACATACATACATACATACATACATACATACATACATTCTAGTAAGGAAACAAAACTGCTCTGTGAGTTTGCTGAAAAAAAATGGTCTTCTTTATAATTAGCATGACAAGAGCTTAAATGAAGATAATGAAAGATTATTGATAGCTGCTAGTGTAGGCAATAAAGCTGGATTCTAGCTTTTGTTTGAACTAAACATTTTTCTTTCTGCTTGAAAGTGAAACAAGAAAACCACAAACGTTTACAATTTTAAAATTTCATACTGGCTGTCAGGCTCTTTGGCAATTGCCTAATATTGAAAAATATTTTTTCTCCAAACATGATTCTCACAGAGTCAAGATCTATTGCTACATTATTATCACATGGGGTTTTAAGAAACAATTTTCCCTTTAGAATCAGTATATATCCCTTCATTACAGTGGAGACTTGATCTGGTCAGGAGGTAGGTCATTTCACTGACAATGGCCCTGGATGTTTGAATAAGAGTCTACTGAATCTCTGTCAAAATGGGAATCAACTATTACATCAGTTGCTCTAGAAGAAAGAACAGTATAGAAATAAAATAAATGGATAATAGTAAATGTCATTATTCCTGAAGTAAAAGTGCCACAAAATACTTTAAAGAAATCAGTATAATTCCCAAGATGTAATGTTATATCTAGTTCCTTGGGAGTAAGTCCCATTAAACTCAAAGAAATTTACTTCTGGGTAGGTATGCATATGATTGCCTTGTAAAGTTAAGGGAAACTGCTTTATTGCTGAATAATTAGCAATTTGATATCCATTTACAATATGCAGATACCAATTTTGTTAACAGTAAATTCCTTAAAAGATAAAACAAGGTTAAAAATACAAATTCAGATGCAGCATTAGAAACTGACCACAACTACTTTAAATATTGCTCTCTACAACTAGCTTATTTATAGGTTTTAGAGTTTTATTTTCTAGTTTTATTTGGTTTAAACTTGAAGACTCAATATAAACATTACAATTTTTCTTCATCTGGATAACTGAATATGCCCTCTCCCTGGCACAAATCTGCTATCATGAGCTAAACATTACCAGAAATGACCATTTTCAAGGAGGAACCATTCATGTTTCCCCCCAACTCTTCTGATATTAGTGTACATCTATACTGCTGGGCTACAGAATAGCACGTAGAAGTAATTCTACCAATCCCTAATCCTTCATGAACGTAACAATCAGTTGTCTGAACGCAATGAAATAATTTCCTCAAAATGATAAAAATAATTATACTTTACATCATTTCTACCCCTATAATAATTATGATAAAGCTTAACATTTCAGATAACTGATTTATAATTAAGGTATTCTGTCATAATTTATGAACAAAAAAGTATTTTGATACTTAAACTGCAAGCACAAAAAAAAATTGCCCAAAATGAGACAGTGACAACAAAGTTTTTCAAATCTCTTACAGCTATGGAGATTTATTTAGTAAGTATACCTCTATAATTTCCAAGGACTCTCAGAGGTTAATATCAAAACTACAAATATAAACAACGTAACAATATATAAGACAACAATAAGATCACCTGGAACAATCAACAAAATAAGACAGCTCTTCAAATATTCTTCAGTTTGACCAATTTCTGGAATGTTAACAGGATGGTTGCCAACTTCTAGAGGGAGGCAGTTCCATTAGAAAAGGGACCAGCCCCAAGGAACAGTTTCTCTCTTCTCATACACTAAAGTATGGAACCACTAGCAGCTTCTCCTGTGACAGGCATATAGAATGGGCTGATTTTGGCTAGAAAAGTGGTCTTGAAGGTACCTGGAAAATCAACCTGTACAGGGCTTCATAGGTTAAAACCAGCACTTTGAAACCTACTAGAACACAGTGCAAGGCCCACAGCACTGGTGTTAATAGTTATGATGGATCTCACCTGCCAATAAACCATCTGCTGCATTTGGTACCAACTGCAGCTTCTGTATGGTCTTCAAAGAGAACCCCATGTACAGCACACTGCCATATTCTAGTCTTGTGGTGATAAGGGTGTGAGTCACCATTATCAGATCTTCTTCTTCCAGACACAGCTGCAACTGGCACACTAACAAAAGCTGAGTAAAGACCTCTTTAGACATCGTCTCCTCACCTACTGTAGCTATATCAGGAGGACTCCCAAGTCACAGACCTGCTTCCTTAGGAGTATTACCTATCCACCCAGAATTAATACCAGAGCTAGCAGAGAACCTTTATGAACTAACAATACCTCTGTCTTGCTAAGGGGTCAGTTTTAACTTGTTTTGTCCTATGCAGTCCCTAATTATCTCCAAGTCTTTACAGCATCCCTAGTTCAGCCTGGGATATATAGGAGAGTGCCCACTGGGTCAATCTCTTCTCTCCCACCCCCACCACCTGGAACTATCCATTTAGAAAAGAACAGGATCTCTATAAAACAGTTCCTCCAATCCCCTTGAAGACATTTCAGAAAAATACTAGGGTCAATGATATCAAATGATGCCATGAAATTTGATAGGACTAAAAGAGGTGCATCCTCCATCCATGTCCCAGAGCAAATTATTAACCAGTGTTCTATGCCCAAATTGAACCATGACTAAAAAAAGTCCAGATAACCCGCTTCCTCTAGAGCAACTGACACCCCACCACTTTCTCAAAATGGGGAGGTTGGAGATTGGGCAACAGTTGTTCAGGGAAAGTTTCTTGAGGAAGAAGTGTACAACATTCTTCTTCAACACTTCCTTCTCTAGCGAAGCACTGCCTACCACCTATACCCAGCTGTTCACATCCCCTTCTGCCCTGAGTAGGAAGGGCATGGATCTGACTCACAGGTGCCAGGGCTCTTGTCAAAGTATATTCTATATATTTCATTGAAGTCCACAGGCTGAAAGAAGTTCTGAATAATATTATAAGAACTTGACCCAGTCATCAGTCTCACCCATGAAAAGTCAATATGAGCAACTTTACAGGCAAATGTTGTACAAAAAGGTCACAGCACCCTGCTGGGAGATTTTTAATCCATTTATAGTTTTCACTGATGTTGATTTTGTTGGTTTGGGGGTTCTGTTGTTTTACTGTTTTGTGCACCACCCAGGATTGTTGTTACAATATGGGTAGCTATGTAAGTCTTTTAAAATAAAAATAAATTTCTCCCCAATAGGAAGTGAGTCACACTGAATTGTGCTGCTGAATGACAATCTACCAACATAATAAAAAGGAAGAAGGCCTGGCTCTTTGCCACATTTATCACCATGGTGCACCTCTCATCAATGTCTGTTAGATTCACTCTTCATCTTCCTCTACTGGTGCTCCAGATATTGCATCTATTGCTCTTCAGTAAACCAAGGAGTTTTTGAGTACTGGCTAATGGAAACAGGCCATTCAGGAGCAATCATGTTAAGGGCCCAAATTGTCACCCACTTCCAAAGCTCAACCAGGCATTCAATAGAACCGCCTGGTAAATTGCTGGGAAAATCCCCAAAATCCCCTTCAGAATCTATAAAATGCCTGAATCTCTCTTCGCTGTGGACGTCCTGACCTGAGCAGTGATAAATATAATCAGAATCAGAAAGTGATTTGGCTATGGCAAAGAATGTCCTTATATCCACATCATGCACCAAACACTTTGAAGCAAAGACAAAGTCCCCCACTATGTGTTAGGCCTGAGATTACCTGGGCAAACCCATGATCGCCATCAGCCTTCCCAGACCCCTCCCCCAGAGCATGAAGATTGAAATCCTCCAACACCAAAAGAAGGGGAAGCTCCAACAGCAGCCAGGAATAAGTTTCAAGTGTTCCAGAAATGGCAGGGCCTCAATTACAGTCTTTCAAGATCACTGTCACTCTTTCCCAATCCTGGAGTTAAAGGTACTCAAGGACCAGAACAAAACCCAGGCAGGCAAATCTCCAAGAGGGCAACATCTCTGGCCTTATCCCAGCCAGGTTTTGGTAATATACGTCAGATCTGCCAGTTCATCTGAAATTAAGACAATCACATCAAACAGACCTGCTTGTCAGCAGCTTGAAGCCAAGGTTACCAGCAGTTCAACTTCCTGGACCAGAATCTAGACATCCAGGCAAGAAACAACACCAAACTATTGAAAATTTCAAATTGCCTAGCATCTCCCACCTGATCTTCAGTAAATTCTTATGATATACTAGTGGTTCCCAACCTTTTCTATGCCCCACACCCCTAGGAAATGCTTGATTAATGTTCACACCCCCTACAAAAGTAATAACACATTTGAAGATGAAGAAGTCTAATTTCTAAAGCGGGTGGACAAATTGAATTAAAAAAAAAAGCTTTTAACTCAGTGCATAAAATTGTTGCACCCCCTGAAATTCCATCTTGCACTCCCTGGGGGTGCAGAATGGGAACCCCTGTGCTATACACTCCTATTCACAAACGCTTATGTTCTGGCCAAAACAGGCATCTTTAACTGGTATGAGAGGAATCTGGGTTTTCTTTTATATTTCCATGTCAAAATATCTTGTAGACCAAACTGGGCATCACTGCACAGAAATGTAGCTAATCAAAATATCCAATTTTTCATTTAAAAACAAAGTATGTGGCAACTTTTTAAATATAACTTTAAAATCTTTTTACCTAAGTCAGCTTTATTAATTGTAGATTGTCCTGCTTTCATTTTTTTCAACTTTTCTCTTCCTGGGAAACTAGCATTGTTTTGTCTCTGTAGCGTGTTGACAAACTCGGTAAATTCACACTTCCAGGTAGATATATGATGCAATCTTGAACGAGAGTAAAAATCTGAAATGAAATTGCCATTAGAAGGTTTGGACAGAGGTGAATTATCTACCTTACTAGGAGCAGGTACTGAAGTAGTGCTTTTTGTGCTTGAAGGCCCCTGAACAGTATAGTGATGAGCACCATTTATTTTAATATTACTGTGCAAAGATGAAAATGATGAATTACTCATAGTCCTGTGCACATTTTTTAAGAGTTCTGTATTTCTGTTGCTTTGTTGCAAATGCTGCATACAGCAGTCTCTAAAGTCAGTGCTTTCTTTCCTTTCTTCTTCATGCACAGGAGACAGTCTGCTTATAACACTTTTGTCAGAGTGCAGCAAACCATCCTGCGTCTTTAAGGCACTGTTGGAACTATGAGTATGTCCATTAAAAATGGAAACGTCGTCTTTCTGATGAATTCCATTCTGTTTGCTTCTGGAAAGAGCTTGCTCCAACTCCAAGAATCCTGTAGTTTCAGCTTCTTTCTTTGATTTACTCATTCCATTTGTTTTCATTTCATTCTCTACTTCATGCTTCTTTACAAGACTATTTCTAAAATGGAGAAAATGGATAAAACAAATATATAAGACAAAGGTTAAACAGTTTCCTCTTTTTTATTGTAATCCTTTTCTATGAAGAATAACTGCTGAACTCAATGGGACTTGTATAACTATTAAAATGTTCTACCCTTAAGAGGCATTCTCCAGAGATTTTAACTTTGTTATACATTTGTCACCTTTTCAATACATGTACACTGTATTATATGCATTTTATTTAATTACTTAATCATAAATAGAATATTACATAAATGTTAACAGCATTAACATTAAAAATCTTACAAGCCTACGTATCTACTATTCCAAGAATCAAGATATTTCCAGAGAAAGCAATTCAGATCGACATACGTACTGGCTGGTACACCTAGTTACCTGATACATTCAGATCTAAGTGCACCCAATCTATTGCTAAATAGGACACTCAACAGATACTGTTCCATTCCCTGAACTGTCATATGCTACAGATTAGAGAATGAAAGAAAGGCCAAGTTTTGATTATTTGAGGTATTCTCTAAACTGTAGTGTAAAATAAAAGAAGATCTTTCTCAGTATTCTGGCACAGGTAAAGGAAATGGAGGGAAAAGCAGGATTTTATCTTACACTTGCTGACTTTTGGATAATTAAAGAGACAGCATTACTCCTGCACCTAATCATATCACAGTACAAACAAGAAGAATACTTTTTTCTTTTCCAAGTTCTCTTTTCCAAGTATGCCAGTTTGAGACAGTGACAAAGCTTTAATTAGCCTTTGAATGACTTACATTTCATAAAGCTGCCCCTAAGGAAGTATCATAAGCCTGAAACACTTTAGACTAACAAACAATGTTCTGAGGATTTTTGAAGTGTGCTCTTGCTCAGTTCAGTTTTATCTAATGAAATACTTAACTGGAACAAAGACACCACAAGCAACATTATGAAATCATAAATTATATTTTAGTATACACCGTGGGAAAAAGTTGATTGGAAACAATCACATATTCAAGGTAATATTAATGTGTGTTTTCATGTAAATATGTCTTTCATTAGTTTTTCTTAGAGCATCAAGTGTAGGTAGTAAACATGGCTTAGAAGTGTGACACATGAGAGCAAAAGAGAATTAGATGTAAAAATAATTTATCTCTTTCAATACCAATACAACATATTGTTAGGTCATGGTTTGTTTTAGCCATAGTTTGTCAAACATGTCATAGTGGCTGCAGCAAACCAAAAGGTGCATGTGCATGGTGATATTATAACACATATCCTATCCTTGTGTATTTGTGTCCCAACATCTGGTTTCATTACTTGCAACTGATTCCATTGAACAGTAAGCCATAATTATGGGTTATAAACTAAAATGTCTCAAATTATACATTAAGACCAAACCAAACATACCACATTATGGTTTAGTGGGACAGGTTTCTATTTCTATTCCATATATATACACACATTCAGAATTCATGCACAGTGTTTAAGCAGGTATACAATCCTACAGAAGAATAACTGCAAAACCACTGTAACAGGTAACCTAATACAGTAATACCTCGGTTAACGAACGCTTCTTTTCACGAACAATTCAGTTTGCGAACAGCAGCGTTCGCAAATTTTTGCTTCCATTCGCGAACTCTGCATCGGGTGATGAACACAACCCGTGGCCATCTTCCCTGCTCTGACACGTGGTTGTGGCTTCCTCTAGGTGAGAGCGTGGTC